AATTGCAGCGCTTCGTGCAGCAATTGCAGTGTCCTGCAGCGCTTCGTGCAGCAATTGCAGCAATTGCAGCGTTTCGTGCAGCAATTGCAGCAATTGCAGCGCTTCGTGCAGCAATTGCAGTGTCCTGCAGCGCTTCGTGCAGCAATTGCAGCAACTTGCAGCGCTTCGTGCAAGCAGCCCCCCCTTGCCCAGCGCGCGAGGCAGCGCGAGCAGCTTCGCCCGAGCCTCTCGTGCCACCTTCCCTGCAAAGCAGCAGCTTCCCGGGCCCAAACCGCCGGCTCCTGCTCCAGCAGCTCCCTTGGCGGCTCCGTTTCGCAGGGGCGGCGCTGGGCGCGCTGAAGCCGGCGGGCACCGCGGGGCCGCCGCGGGCGCCGCGCGCCTCCGAGCGCCACTGCCAGCTCTGCGCCGCCTGCTTCAACAACCCGCTCATGGCGCGGCAGCACTACGAGGGCAAGAAGCACAAGAAGAACGCGGCGCGCGCCGAGCTCCTGCAGCAGCTGGGCAAGACGCTGGACCTGGGCGAGCCGCGGGGTGAGACCCCCTTTCCTTTAATCCTTCCTTAAATAATTTTCCCTCCCTTGAATAATTTTCCCTCCGTTGAATATTTTTCCCTCCCTTAAGTAATTTTCCCTCCGTTGAATAGTTTTCCCCTCGGTGCCAAGGGCTCCGCGGGCGGCTGCGCCCCGCTGTAAGGGTGATCCAGGTGCTGCGGGTGCCGCCCGGCATGAGTCACCCGCAGCATCAATGATTCATGGCACTGACTCACCATCCGTCCGGGAGAGCACACAGGGGAAAAATAGCCCAGGACGATGACAGGGAAGCGTCTGGCGCTTGCAGGCTTGTTAGGCGGCCCGGGATGGCATGGTGTGCCAATAAATCACCATTTTACCCATTTCCCCCCGTTTTCTCAGGAAAAACGCCCCTGAGAAGCTCAGTGTCCCCCCCGGCAAGGGGAACTGTCCCCGAGTGGCGCAGAGCCGAGTTCCTTCCTCGCATTTTCCCTGTGTCACATAAATATTTTCCCGCTCGCGCTGTCACTTGTGCTTAGCGCAGAGCGGGCAGCCGTGCTCCCCGGGYGCGCCGTGCCACGCGCTCCAGCCCCGTGACGGTAATAGGATTTTTAATATTTTATCCCCCGGGTAGAGCGGCGCGGTGGCTTTGCCAGGGAGCTGCAAATTTGGGATTGGATCCATTGGTTAAACGGGATGCGCGTGCGTGTATCTCTGGGAGCCGGGTTTATCCCTGGGTGCCTTCTCCCGCCGATGCCAGGTCCGGTGCTGCCGTTATTCCCAGCTCCAGGCTGCTGGAAGCCCACACGTCCCAGCTGGGCACTCTCCTCGCTGCCAGTGTTTCCACGTCCCCGAGTAATTAAGATGCAATAAGGCCGCGGTTAATGTGTGCTGTTAAATTAGCTGCTGAGCACGAGGACCTCGTTACCTTGATTTAAGGCATTCCCGGCTCCTGGCTGCGCGGTCCCGCTCCCGGAGCAGCCCCGGCTCCCACCGCTGTGACCTGGGCGGGTTGCATCGACGCTGCCATTCCCACCCTTTCCCGGGATAACCTGTCCGAAATAACCSCCTGCAAACCACCCACCAGGGCAGGGATGAGGACAGGGACTGCAGGAAATCCAAACTGCTGCAAATCACAATATCCAAATTTCTGGGAAAAGGCCTTTCCTTTTCCCGCCGAGCGAGTGAGAGCCGATCCCTTTGGAAGCGACATTCCCGRGCGTCCCGGCGCGAGGAATTGCCCCGCTCCGGGCACTAAGGGCTTTTCCCTTGCAGGCCTGAAGCGCAGCTACGCCTGCAGCACCTGCAGCGTCACCCTCAACTCCATCGAGCAGTACCACGCGCACCTCAAGGGCTCCAAGCACCAGGCCAAGTGAGTCGCGCGCTCGCCGCCCGCTCCGCACCCATCCGGGCATCACCCACCCTTTACACGCCAAAAAAAATGCAGAAAATCCCTCCCGGAACCCCCCCAAAAAATCACAAAAATATCCGTCCTCCGCCAAAAAATCACAGAATCACCAAAATCACATCCGCAGGGCAGCGCGCCCGTGCCGCTCTGCAGGAATTTGGTCTGGGAGGTTTGCCGCTGGATTTGTTTCACTGAATAGTGGGGGAAATGAGGGAAAAAATAGTGCCCTGGCTGGTGTTTTGGTGTTGAATAAAAGATTTGTGCAGGGCTGGTCCTTGTCCCTCCGGGTGATGAATATGTAAAGCAAGGGAATGTCTGTGAGCTCCAAGTGTTTGCAAAGGAAGGGTAAAAATGCGTCAAAAAACACCTTGCAATAAATAAACCTTGTAATAAAAGCAGGAAGTGGAGGCTGGATGCAAGGAGGATTTGGGATGGGGAATCCCAGAGCGGGTGTCCTGGGAAAGCTCCGCCTGGGAGCATCCGCGGCAGGGAGCACTGCAGTCCTTAATTAGGGATTTGGGCATGGGAGCAGCTCTCCCGGCTCTCCCGCAATCCCGGTGCCCGTTTCGGTGCCCTCGCTCCTCCTCCGCGCCGAGCCGGACCGCGGGCAGCCGGTTTCTATGGGGACCGGCAGCCGGGAGCAGCGGGAATGAGGTCAGCGCATCCCGGAGCGGCGGGAAGGGCCCCGCTGCTTCCCACGGAGCAGGGGGTCACCCCAAAACCCCTCTCCATGAACAACATCCACCCGCGCGCTCGCGTGCCGGCTGCCCGGCAGCGTTGTTTTATCCATATTTTTTTCCCGGTTGCCAACACGGATGCCCGGTTGGACCAGGGTATTTCTCAGCATAAGCCGCCTTGATCCTGAGGAATAAGAGCTAATCAAAATATTGCAAATTTTGTGCCTGGAGAAAAGCCGCTCCTCTCCACGAYTGCATTTCCAACATTATTTTTTTCCCTTTTCCCACCACCCTCATTCTATTTAGGAAAACGACCTTAAATACTCAAGTGGTAGCATGAAATGCCTTCTTTTTTCTTATTCTTGCTCTTTTTGGGTTTTATTGGTTGCAATGACATTTCCCGTGGCTGCCGCCTGGGCAGGGAGAAGCTTGGGCTCGCTAATAATGCTGGAGATGGATGGGTATAAAAGGGAGATGGGAACACRAGGCATTTTAATTTGTCCTTATTCCTGCAGCTCCAGAGAGCAGCTGAATAATTACGTGGCCTCTAACGAGCGAGCGTGTGATCCTTCCTCTCATTACAGGATTAAGTCGTCTCCCTTCCTCTGAATGCAAGGGAAAATAAAGATATCCCCGATATCTCCTGTTTTGATCATAATTTGAAAGCTGCCACAAGCCAGGCTGGCCTCAGTTTGTGCTGTCTGCCACAGGCATTAATTATTTTAATGTAAAACATAAACTTTACATTGAGGACCTATAGAAAACATCAGTTTTCTTCCCTTAAAAATAAAACCATTGCAGGGGTTTTCAACGGCCAAATTCAAACCTGTGCTGGAAACCGGGATTGCGTTTGGGGAGGGAATCTGGTTTGCGCCTCTTCTTGGCGCGGCCGCCCCTCACCGCTGCCTCTGGCCTCCCTTGCAGCCTGAAGAACCAGGAGTGACTCCGGAGCGGCCGGGCGAGCGGCGGGACGGCGCAGCGGAGCCGAGCGCCGCGGCTCCCGGGACGCCGCGCGTTCCCGCACGGAGCCCTCCTGAACCTGCAACTAACCTTCGCTTTGGACAAATACCTGGATTCCTTTCCTGTATTATTATTATTTTTAACTTTCTGGTGGGTTCGGATATTTGGGTGGATTTTTTTACCCTTTCGACGTCGTATTTATCGAGTGCAGGATCTGCAGGACGGCAGCGGCAACCCTCTAGGAGCAGCATCCGAGCGCTCCTCCAGCCCAGAGGCAGCGGGAAGGGAAGATTTTACATTTTCGGACTTATTTTTAGCGCTCCTCGGAGAGCACGAGCGGCTCCGGGCGCTCCAGCCGCGCTCCGATCCCCTTCCAGGATAAATAAGCGGGATCGAGGCGGTTTCCTCACGCTCCCGGGCAGCTGGGAGGAGCAGGGCGCCTATGGAYGGACGGAGGGACAGACACACGGACACGTCCCGTGGTGACGGCTCCATTGGAGAAGCGATTCCCGGTGCGCCCGTGGCTTCGGATGGGGATCACGGCAAGTGCAGCAGCAGCACCCGAAGTGAGCGGTTCTGGCCCCAAAAGAGCGCCGTGAGTTTGCAGTGGGGCGGCAGGGGCTGCGGGGACCTGCGGGAACAGGGGATGCTCCCCGGGGATGAGGGGATGCTCCCTCTCCTTCCAGCTGGAGCGGCGGGAGCAGCCGGAGCGCTGCACTTATTGCTGCCTGGGGTTTTCTCTTAATTGCATGAATGTGTTCATTAATTTTGGGGGTTTTTCTTTGTTTTTTGGTGTTTTGCACCTTGCCCGCTCAAGGCAGCCGATTGCCAGGACCCCCTCGATGCATTTTCCATAGGCTTGCAGCGGCCGCATCCCGTTGCATCCCATTGCAGCAGCCCGCGGCAAAGCCAGCCGCTGCCATCAGCAACCGAGGGACCGGGACCCCACTCATCACGGGGACACCAGGGTGACGCTCAGGGCGCTTCAGGGGCTGCCACCACGCACTGGAAAGGCCCCACGTCACCAGCATCCCGCAAGTGCCGCTGCCCCCCGCGTTTTGCATCGGGTCCCCGATGGCTGCGTCGCGTGCTGCAAATCTCAGCATTGCAGGAAACGTTTCTCCTCCTGGCCTCTCCTCTGCAATTAGAAGGGCTTTGCTGAGACGCCGTTAATGTTTGCTAATTTATCTCATTTGCTTCCTTTCGGAAGCGCGCCTTGCCTTGCTGCCGGGCAGCATCTCTGCAGGCGTGGCGGTTTGGGCTCCTGGCGCCAAGCTCTGTAAATGCTGTTTGTTTTGGGGATTGCGTTTCTTCACCCAAACGGATTTCCAGCAGCGTTGCTTGCATATCCAAAACCTCTCTAATGAGAATGTCTATTGATTAGAGGCGCGAGCTTAAATTGGGGTTTCAGGGCACTGAGCGCCACAGGGGAACCCGTGTGGCCCCCTGGCTCTGCAGGAATCCGCTGCAGGAATTCGCATCCGGATGCTTCATCTCCAAAGCTCTGACACCTCACACAGCCCTTAGSTGTTGCAAGTCCACAGTTCTCCTTCCCTCCTTGCTTATTTCCCTGGAAATGATTCCAATCACAGCATTTCGCTCCTCATGAGAATTTGCCCTCGTAGCTCTGGTCCATCCTGTTTTCTACTTCACTTTTCTTTGAAAGGCTGGAGGGCAACCCCAATTAAACGGTGGGGCAGGAACCATAAGTTGCAAGGATAAAAAAGAAGGGGAGATCACCTCGCCTTGCACAAATGTCTTGTTTCCTCCGTTTGCAAAGCCAAGCCTCATTTATATATTAAATTAATATATATATTAATATTATTTATTGCCACATGAGGAGGGAGACCCGGTGTTAACGGCACGCTCCGSTTTTGTCGTACGTGCGTTATGTGGATGCTCTCCGTTAGCAAACCGCAGGCTCTCCGTCTGCATGCACCGAATGTCTCCAGTGTTGTTGTCCCTGGCTTTGCCCGCAATGTAAATCCGGAGCCTCCGGAGCTCTGCCTTCCCTCCGGAACCTCGCAGCGCCTCGTGCSTGGAGCGAGACGCCGGCATCCCGGGCGGCTGCTCCATTATTCATAGGGCAGAGCTAAAAATAAAGCCCTGCTGCTGGCCGAAGCGGGTGGAAGGAGGCGTTTGGAAGTGGAAGGAGGCGTTTGGAGGTGGAAAGAGRGGATTGGAGATGGAAAGAGGGGATTGGATGTGGAAGGAGGCGCTTGGAGGTGGAAAGAGGGGATTGGAGGTGGAAAGACGGGTTTGGAGGTGGAAGGAGACGTTTGGAGGTGGAAAGAGGGGATTGGATGTGGAAGGAGGCGTTTGGAGGTGGAAGGAGATTTTTGGAGGTGGAAAGAGGGGTTTGGATGTGGAAGGAGGCATTTGGAAGTGGAAAGAGGGGTTTGGAGGTGGAAAGAGGGGTTTGGAGGTGGAAGGAGGCGTTTGGAGGTGGAAAGGGGCGTTTGGAAGTGGAAGGAGGCGTTTGGAGGTGGAAAGAGGGGATTGGATGTGGAAGGAGGCGCTTGGAGGTGGAAAGAGGGGATTGAAGGTGGAAGGAGGCGTTTGGAGGTGGAAAGAGGGATTTGGAGGTGGAAAGACGGGTTTGGAGGTGGAAGGAAGTGTTTGGAGGTGGAAAGAGGGGATTGGATGTGGGAAGAGGGATTTGGAGGTGGAAAGAGGGGATTGGAGGTGGAAGGAGGCGTTTGGAGGTGGAA